AGACAGAGGCCAGCAGATCTCTGAGTTTAAAGCCAGCCTGGATTACAGAGAAAGTTTCAGGACAGCCAAGAGTAGGCAGTGAAGGACAGAAAGCTGGTGAAGATGTAATTGAATTAGGGGGCCATGTCACATTTCCAGCAAGCAGCAGAATTTGGCAGCTTCGGCCACGTGGTTCTGGCTTTAGAGTTAAGGACAGAAGAAACAGGTTATGGAATTTGCCTCCTCGCCTAAGGGAAGCTGCTGAGGCCAGGCATGTATTCAGGGGTGTTCCTGAATGGAGGCCTAGAGGGGTCATTAAGTGAAGCTGTGAAGTTGAGGCCTGGATTGCCTTGGAGAACCCAAGATGTCAGAGTTGTGGGATACCTGCCTAGGAGAGCTGCTAACAGGGAGTGGAACCAGCCCAAGAGAAAGAAGTGTGTTGCAATCAACAAAGCTATACAGAGTTGGAGATCTGAAGAGTGTTTTGACATCAGACACGGAGATGCAGAGTTTGGAGTTTGCCCAGCTGGTTTTCGATCTTGCTTTGGTCCAGTATTTCCTCACTATGCTCCCTTCCCTATGTTTTAGAATGCTAATGTATATCCTGTGCCATTATATGTTGGAAGTATGTGATCTGCCTTTTGATTTTGATTAAAAGTTAAGAGAGCCCATGAATCTCAGAAGAGACTTTGAACTTTTAAACATTGTTGAGACTGTGATAGACTACGGAGACTTTTGAAGTTGGACTGGATGCATTTTGCATTATGATATTGTTACAAGCTTATGGGGGCCAGGGAATGTAATGCTGTATTTTGGACATAAATGGCCCCCATAATCTCACAGGGAGTGGCACTATTAGGAGATGTAGCTTTGTTAAAGTGGGTGTGGCCTTGTTGGAGGAAGTCTGTCACTGTGGGGTCTTTGGGCTTTGAGGTTGCCTATGATCAGGTTACCACCCAGTGTCTCAAACCACTGCCTGTTGCCTGCAAAATGTAGGACTCTCAACTACTCCTCCAGCACCACATCTGCCTGCACACCTCCATGCTCCCCATCATGATAACAGACTGGACCTTTGAAGCAGTAAGTGAGCTACCCCAATTAAATGTTTTCTTTATAAGAGTTGTCGTGGTCATGGTGTCTCTTTACAGCAAGAGAAACCCTAAGACAGGAGCTGAGCCATTTCTCCAGCCTAGCCATGCTGGAAGGAAGAGACCCATGCTCCCTACACAATAGAAGACTGTCTTGGAGACAGCTGGTAAAGTCTGTTACTGTTGTCCTAAAGAAGTATCAAGATTTCTTTTGTGTGCATGTGGTTGTGAAACAGAATCTGGTGTACTCCAGGCTGACCTCAAACTTTCTATGTAGCTGAGGATAACCTTGAACTTCTGATCCTCCTGCCTCCACTTGCCAAGGGGTAGGATTCCAGGCATGTGATTCCACACCCAGTTTGTGCAGTTCTGGGTGGCTAGCTCTGGACTTGATGCGTCTAGGCAAGTGCCTTACTACAACACCACAAGGCACTGAAATTACAAACAAACATTTCAGGTTAAGACCTAAAAACAAAACAAAACCTACTAGAAACATAAAGGTAGGTGAAAGCGGGGCTGGGACAAGACAATATGAAATAATGTCCTTAGGACAGACAGGCTAGGGAGAACAGGGAACAGACACTGAGATACTGGGGTACAGGATCTGGAGAATTTGTTTGAAACAGGGTCTCATGTAGTCCAAACTTGTTGCATAGCCAAGGATGACCTTGAACTTCTGATCCTCCTGCCTTTACTTCCCAAGTGCTAGAATTACAGGCATGTACCACCATGAAAGGATAAACCTTTGATCATACACAAGCATCTAGGACAACAATAACAACAACAACAATAATAAAGAGATAAGATCACTAAGTTCCACAAGGTGCTTCAAAGTCATTTTCACCATTGGCCCTGGTTGTCGTTATTTCCCACTCAGACTCTTTCAGCATCCTTGATCAATGCCTGCTGGCTAGCCCTCATCTTCATTGCCAGCAGGTCCCAGTCCTTAGCAGAGCCATGTGCAGATGACCCCTCACCCCCGCCCAGTGTCCAGGGCTGTTCCTCTGTTCCTCCTCTGACTCATGACTCTTCCTCTCTGTTAGTTTGCCCAGTTCCCTTTCAGTGGCCTCCGGAATTCCAGGAGAGAGTTTTCCTTTGTTTTATCTGGGTCAATCCTTAATGGCCTGCAGGCCATCTTTCACTTTCTAGTCATAGAAGGAGATCCCTGCTGTCCACTCTTGGTTTTGGCCTTTCACCAGGAATTAGCCAAGACCCCCTGGTGTTTAGAGAGCACCATAGCCCAAACAATAGGAAGAGAAGGAATGCAGGCTGGACAGCTGTACCTCCTGTCATTATAACTCTACTGAAAGTCATACATGTGATGGACATGCTGGGGAGAGGTTGTGGAGAAGTGTGCTCTGGTACCAAACCACACATCTCTGCTGAAGATTGCTTCCCCTGTGTTTTTCCTCAGTTATCCTGAGGCTCTGTTGCAGTTGAGAATAGATTAGCAGCCTGGGACTCCACTTGGTTTGGGCTATGCATTCACCCCACCCCTCTCCTAATAACGCACCCAGCAGCCTTTAAGATTAAGATCCCCTCCTGCATTGAGCTGGGTGCACACTCTTCTCCAAACAAAAGAATAAGTTTCTCCTCCTCTTAATGATCATCAAGAATGGATAGTTTCTATTTAATGTTTCTCTAGATATCTCTGAATATGAACATAGGGATCCAATCAGGTCTGAAGTACTTTTGGGTGCATGCAAATTGTGTCTTCTGAGTGAAGATTTGGGGAGAATCCCCTGTTTACCATATTAGGTCTATGCATACTTGGGCATGGTATGATTGAGATCTGATGCATCATGAGAAAGGACATGCGCAATGATCACAGGCTTACATAATCTATGCCTGTCAATCAAAATAGAACCACCTGTGATATGCCCTTACCAACCAAACTCCTTTTGACCTCCATAAAAGGAAACTCCAAATAATAATTGGAGTCTTTCAGTCCTCTCTCACATGGTCTATGACTTCTGATCACATATTTCTGATCTATACTACTTATATGCTTTTGGATAGTTTGTTGTTGCTGTTGCTCTAACCTGAAATCTATGTGCCTTTATTTCAATTCATTGAAACACTCAGCCAAGACTCCAATCACTGGTAATATCTAAAAGCCAGCAATCAGTCATCCTGATTTTCTGCTCTGGCTGCCATGGAGTCTCTCCCCTTAATATACCAAACACAGGCAAAGCCCTTAGGAACAGATCGGTCCACAGCTTTGCCATACCTCAAGGGAACTGCCTCCACACTGGATTGCTGGATCACAGTGTTGAGAGTCCAGTGAATACATGGGAGTTCATGGTGAGGATATACCTTGTTGGTAATGTTATAAGTCGTGACAGCTGACATTCCCCATAAAGAAAAAAAAATGTAGCTGAAGATCAAAAAGTATCTGATTCTAGCAAAGTTCCAGTAATTTATACATTTCAAGTGCTTTCTAAGCTGAGGAGAGAGGGAGAGGCGACTAACCGTGAATCTCCCTGACCAGGTTCTATGTCAAGTAGCTCCTGCTTGAGATTGGCCACACAGTCACAACCACTCAATCTTCATTTCCTCTAACAAAACATGATGTCATTCTGGACCCTCCCGTTTCCCCTTTCCTTCATAGTTATTCAAGTTTTGAGAATCTCACCTCTTACATTCTTCAAGACGGCTTCTCACTTTTTAACCTTGACCATCATGTCAGCCTTAGAACTTCTCGGCGCCCAATACTGTCTCCTTCAATCCTTTCCTCACGCAATAGCGCAATGTAGACAACTGTCTTCCCAATGCCTCCTTGTGTTCCCCCTGCCCCGTGATCCAGTGGCTGCCTGTTTCTAGAGCACCACCCTCCCACTGTTCCCTGCCTAGAACTATGACCTCTAATGTCACAGAAGGGCCCATTGCTGTTGGGAGCTGTTGGGAAGATGCCGTATGTGTGTGTGAAAGGAGTTAGAAGAATACCTAAAAGCAGAACAGTCTTATTTTACAATCTGAATTTGAATAAACAAATGCTTTGTGCAATTGAGAAGCATATTTAGTGAGACATAAATTTGGGAGGATGGATTTAAACAGAAAGAAGAAAGAACGTGTTATAAGGAGAAGAACTTAGAAGAGGAAGCCGTGAGCAGAATCCAGGCTTGATTTTTGCCTTTTTCTGTCTTCATGACTTTGGGCATGGACTTAGCATCTCTGGACCTCTTTGGGTGTGGTGATGCATACCTCTTGTCACAGCTTCTTAGGAGGCAGAGGGATGAGGATGGCTTGAACCTAAAAGTCCAAGGCCAGCCTGGCAACATAGGCAGACCCCAGTCTCAAATAAGAACAACAAAAACCTCTGGACATCAGCGAAATGTGTTCTATATGCATTCTAGGCTGTCATCCTAACTCTATGGCAAAAACTGCAGCATCACCTGGTTCTTATCACAACCCTCATCTGGACTCCATGACCACCATCCTCTGGATTTCTGGGTCACCAGCAAAGTTGGTGAATTGAGAAAGCAGAGCATGCAGAATCCAGCTACCACCTCTTTTCAGGCTTATCTTCATCGCATACAAGCTCTCCAAACTCTGTGTGTTTGGTAATGTTCGCAGGGTCTGTTTGATGACACCAAGTCATACTACACGAAGTGAAAACAGAAAACATCGTGGCAGAATAGATTTGCAAGTCATTCATTAACACTTGCACAGAGCTGTGACCCAAGGACTTCAGTTGCACAGTGTTCCTTTCCTGGGGGTCAAATTACCTCACCGAATACCAACCCTGCAATTCACATAGGTTACCACCAGGTGACAGTCACAGGTCAAAGGTACCACTGGCTTCCCTGAGGGTTCATTCAAATTGAGGTCTCTCTTGAAGCAATGCCTGGCTCATCTGTAAAGATGGCCACTGAGCTAAGTATCCATAGGCAAAAGAGAACAGAAAGCAAAGAGCCACATGTGCCTGCTTACCGGAGCTGGAAGTTTTTGACTTTGGTGACCAGCAACTTGTAGTGGGCACCGTGGGGAGCCATGGATGCTACATCTACAAAGATCAGTTGCTCCAAAGGGCCGGTCTCATTGGTTGCTTTGGACGGACAGAGAGTGCGGCTGACTTCCTGGTAGTTGTAGCTCCGTTGGTATCTGCAGAGGTGGGTGTGTGGACAACATCAGCAAGAAGGAGACACAGTGAACCGGGCCAGGGAGAATGCTACCTCACTCTGCTCCTCTCTGATGTGGCTTTAAGTCCAATTTCAGGCTGGATCTATGGATAGCAATCCTAGGGAAGCTGTAGTTGGCATCCACTGTATGACAGGGACATAGGAACTGTTATATCCTGACCAGTTTACTTAGCGGTGTCTACATGGCGTTAAGCCAGACTCCCGAGTTATTCAAGGGAAAACACCAAAATTTGAGGGAGGAACTCTCCTGGTTAAACCACCATAGAGTCTTTTCCTTTCTCTTTCTTCAGTTTCACTGATTTCAAGATAAAACTATCAGAATTAGTATTTAACCCTCAAATTCCTGAACCTTTGAAAACCACGTAATAACATTTCAGTCGGTGCCCATTTCTCTGTGCCTTTTGGGCTCCCTATTGGTGCCAAAACACCTTAATGAACTCTCCTCAGCAAAACAGGGACTCTGTCAGGACAGGGACTCGTGTTGTTTTTTATAGTGTCTTCCCGAACCTCCCACTCAGCACTGCTCTGTAAACACTGCTGAATGAAGAAAGCAAGTAGAAGAGGCGTTTTGAAGAATGGGGTTGGTGCTGCTCATCTATTGACTGCTGGGCCTACCTAACCCAGTGAATGGCTATGGGGTGATCTATTTTGCAAAAGCGGGTGGGGGGTGGGGTGGGGGAATTGAATATTATGATCGATTCTTTTTTTCTTTTTTTTTTTTGGTTTCTCGAGACGGGGTTTCTCTGTGTAGCTTTGTGCCTTTCCTGGGAACTCACTTGGTAGCCCAGGCTGGCCTCGAACTCACAGAGATCCACCTGCCTCTGCCTCCCAAGTGCTGGGATTAAAGGCGTGCACCACCACCGCCTGGCTATGATCGATTCTTAAATGGTGTGAGTTCTCCCAGGTACTGAAAACCTAGATGGAATGCTTATCTGAAATTCAGAGAGGGTGGACACGTATAGCCCTGAGCAGGCTGGGGCATGCTGTGTTTGCCTGTGACATGTGTTACCCTGGCATTCCCACGTCTGAGTTCTCTTCTGGCTAAGACCAAAACAAAACAAAACAAAACAATGATAATAATAACCCATCTAAGTCTACGGAGATTGAAGAACGTCAAGTGTAGTGACGTTACCTGGGCAGAGAATACTCACAGTCCTTGGAAGAGCAGAGGGACCTGCCAGGACAGCACCTCTTTCTGCTGGCGAACCACCACCAGGACCGGGTAGTCCAGGTTCTCAGTGGAGCTGTTCACGTGCACCCGCACAGCCGTCACCTGTGGGGCAGGCCAACACAAGCTCACTGATTCCTGACGTTTCTTCTCACGACAGGTAACCCCAGTGCTCCAGCTGTCTTTTATTATTCATACAATAGCCAAAGTGGGTCTCACCCTCGACCACACATTGAAGTTGCCCCAGGAAATTTATAATAATTGATGCCTGGATACGATTTGCTTAAAACTCTGATTCAGTTATTCTTGGATGAGGCCAAATTATGGAGCCGTCAAATAGTAAACTGAGGAGCTGGAGCTGAGCGGTCAACCAAAGGCTTCAAGAATAACTCCGGGAGAGAAAAACAAAGATCTCCACGTAGTCTTTCCTTATTTGACTATAAATACAAATAATATAAAAATCATGAACATACCCCCAAACTACCTCACAGTCTACAAGAACCCCCCCCCAGCTGCTGACAAACTTTGGGTATGGTAAATCATTCTGCTTCAATTCCTTTTTTCTTTTAAACAGCCAAAGAGATGGGCTGCTGCTCCCTATCCAACTGCAGCACATCCTCCAGGGCCTGAGTCCTCTCTGCTCCAGGGTAAGTCACGAACAAGCTCGCCGCTCTGCATGAGAGCACACAAGCGAGTCGATCCTGAAGATGGGAGGCTCAGTCTGCTCCTGGGGGCTACAGGGTTTTGGTGTTTTCCGTAAAACTTTTCAAGTACCATATGAAATACGGAAGATGATACTGGAAAACAGAGAAGAGGAAAAGAAAAAATAAAACGTGATCTTCTACATGGCATTTTTATGTATGGATCCATCGCCTTTATATTCTTTTGAAAGTTTCCTTATTGGGGGGTGGGGGTGGGGGGCAGTAAAATGGCTCGGCAAGTAGTTCAGTGGCTAAAGCATTCCCAGAATCCAAGTCAAATGCTGGGGACACCAAGTCTCCCTATAATTTCAGCCTCAGGAGATGGAGACAGGCGACCCCTCTGGCAAGCTGACTAGAGAGACGAGCTAAATCGGCTCTCAATTGATACTGCCTCAGTGAATAAGCTGGATGAGCTATTGAGGATGCCTCTCACCCACAACCTCCAGGCCTCCAGATACACACATGTACACACACACACACACACACACACACACACACACACACACACACACACTGGAAAAATAAAAATAAAAAAAAAATAAGTCCCAAGTTGAACCTTGAAGACCTACCACACATTCCAAATGCAGGCCAAGAGGCTGTGTGTCGTATCCAGCGCTTAGTACTCTGAATTCTCCCCGATGAAGCCACTGCTTCACGTTTTTAATGTTAGCACAGGCGAAGAGTAATTTATTAATTTGATAAGAAGTACCCAAGGGAGCATTTCCTGTGCCTACACTGTTTCCATGGAAACAGTGGTGAAGCTGATAATTGCTCCAACTGTACTTCAAGTGCAGACCTCTTTGTTAAACTGTGGGATTTCCACAGGCCTCTTAAACTCCATGTGGCTACATGGAATCTCCCATTCCCTTCACTCCGGACTTTGTTTTTTGGTTTTGTTGTTGTTGTTGTTGTTTGGTTTTTAATGAATGGTTCCAACATGCAGCTACTCATCTCAGCCTGAAACCTGAGGGTTCTGGTTGGTCCCTGCTTCTGCCATTTCTAACTCCTTCAGACTGATCTTACCCGGGCCTCCCTCCCTGTCAACACTAAGCTCAGCCCTCGGTGCCTTACTGACAGCCTCTTTTCTCTACTGACTTGAGCCCCCCAGTGCTCTTCTTGATCTCGGCTGCATCCCTTGCAATGTCAATTTCATCTGTCACTCTCCATGTCAAAGACCTTCAGTGGCTCGGAAACTTTACCAGTCTGATGCCAAAGTAACAAGAAAACAACAATAAATAGTCATGGATCATTCACTTTTGATACCTATTAACAAATACATTTTATTTTATTCATGCTTTCTATTTCCACACACTCCTTCATTGTGTTTTGAAACACACACACACACACACACACACACACACACACACACACAAGCATATTACTTAATCATCAGATAGCTTAATGAATATCTCTAAGAGGTAGAGCTTCCTTAACAAAATCCATAGCAGGGGCCGGAGAGATGGCTAAGTCGTTAAGAGTACTTGATGCTCTTGCAGAGGGCCCACGTTTGGTTTCCAGCATCCATATACAGCATACAGACAGCACACAACTATCTGTAACTCTGTAGATCCAATGCCCTCTTCCGGCCTCCAAGGTTACCAGGTATGCACATGATACATATACATGTAGAAAATTAATAAATCTTAAAAACATAAACAATATGATCTCACTACCATTTTAATTTATCTGATATTTACATGCTGTTTGTAGCTTTTCAATTGTTTCAGAAATTGCTTTTCTTAGTTTTTTTTTTTTTTTTCAAACTGAGTACAAATTTACCCCACGGACCTGGTCTGTCTTGTTTGATACCAAAACTTCATTCTTCTTCATTGTTGAATAATATTCCATTGCATGAATATACAACATTTTATTTATCTATTCTTTAATGATTATTTATGTTTCTTTCACATTTGGGGTATTTACAAATAATGCTGCCATGAATATTTGTGTACTAACTTTGTGTGAATATGTATTTTCAATTCTTTTTGGTATATACTATGATTGGATTTCTGGGAGACAAGATAACTCTATGTTCAACTTTTTGAGAAACTGCCAAAATATTTTCCAGAGTTGTATCATTTTTACACTTCAGTCATTTATATATCCAGCAATGTTCCTAGTTTCTTTACTTTTTTTTGTCTATACTTGTTACTGCCTATCTTTATTACAGCCATCCTAGTGGGTAAAAAGCTATATGTTGTTGTAGACTGCATTTTAGTTTTGTTTCTTTGTTTCTGTTTTGATTTTGAGACAGGATTTCTCAAGTAGTTCAAGCTGGACTTGAATCCATGATCTTTTGGCCTCGTTTCTCCAAGTGCTGGGATTACAGGTGTGTGCCTTCATGCCTAACTGGTAGTTTGGCTGCCTGGCTCTTTGAGGAAGTTGCCAACCTTGTTTTCAGAAGCCCCAGAGCCTGACAGAATAAATTACCTTAGAAGTAGGTGGACTCAGAAGTAGTTGAATTTTGGTAACTGAAATGCAGACATCCTAATACTAGACAGCGTGTTTTATAGCATGGATTACTTAGAGCAGTCAGAACCCAGGTAAACTCAAATGGGCAAGCTGCTTCTCCAGCATACCTCTTCCTTTCCTCCCTTATGATGCAGCCCCCTTCTTAGGGACTTAGTGTCAGAGGGAGTTGCTCAGAATTTTTTTCCACACTTCATTATAAGGCAGCAATTCTAGCCTTCCCTCAACTGCAGGAAGTTTCTGATTCAGCTGATGAAGTACAAGCCTAAGAGTATGCATTTCTAACAAATACTAGTGGGCGGTTGGAGTCCCTGGTTTGGGGCCTACACTGTGGAAGCGCTCTTCTAGAACCATCTACTGATCCACTGCCTGACCTATGTGTTACTGTGAGATGCCCGACCATGAGCTCAGCATCGTCACCGCAGCCGCAGCCTGGAAGCTGTCATCGTTGGGCCTGAAGCAGGGCATCACAACAGATACATCCTGGCTGTCTAAGCCCCTCCACTGCTCATCCATCTCCACGTCCTGATTTTCCTGGTCTAGCTTTCATAATCCACTTACTTTTTTATTATTTAATAATGATCTTGCCAGCCGTGATAAAGACAAACTCAGAGATACTGACATAATAAGTCACACAAAAGATACTAGAGTAGGAGTTGGGCGACACTGGGCGGTTTTGCAAGATGAACAGATAAGGTATTACCCGGAGGAAAGGATCGAGAGCCTCGCTCAGAATCTGCTGTGCCTTTCCAAAAGCTAGTGAGCAGTGGAGAAAATTGGATTACGCCTACCACAGTGAAGTGGGCTGTGTGAAGATAAAGCTTAATGAAGGGTGGCCACTGGCCGTGCTGAATGGACTCTGAGACCTCGGACTAGAGCATTCTCAAAGCCTATGGTTTTCTCCTTTTGCTTCCTCTTGTTTCCCTGACAAAAAGAGAACTTTTATTACCTCGAGTGTGTTTCTTCCTGTATTTACTACAAGCAGGGAATCACATTAGAGGCAGTAGAGAATTATGCAAGGATTTCCGCCTCCGGTAGTATACAGATCATGTTTATGAAAGTTCCGAAAGCTTTGAGACCCCCTTTTTAATCTTTTGTGTCATCGGGGAAAAGCTCAAAATTGGAAGTGGTACACTTTACTTGCATATAAAGGATGAAAATGAGTTTAACTCTTAAGTTGACTCTGGTTTGGCTAAAGTAACGAGACTGCAGCTCTGCTAGAGAAAACCTCAGCTTCTGACACGGAAGCTGTTGGCTGCCATCATTAAACACACCAGTGCATAGACTTGCCTTGTAAAATGGCTGCGGCGTGACTGTGGCCAATCCCTTTGCTAATGTGTAATGGCCTTGCCAACTCCTTTGTATTCACTGGGTGTTTATCTGGTTTTAACTACTCCCACCCTCCTTACCCCCCTTTCTGCCCATGCTCCCAAGAGTCACTGGGCATAGACCCTGACTCAGAAGCTCCAAGAGAGTCTGGGGATTACCAAAGGAAACCTTCCCACAAAGAAGGCATGCTAGCTCATCAGAGCATGCAAGGAGCCATGTGACTTCTTTAGGGGACAAGGCCTGAGAATAGCATGAACAAATTCTCCTGGAGGCAAGGGCCAGGAGAATTTAACCCATTTTTGGCAAGGCCAATGGATATTTTGCTGCATAATTCTGAGCAAGACCCCAGGAGCATATTGCTACCTGCTCTCCTTGCTTTCTTTACATAAAGTACATTGCTGGCTGCCTCTAGTCTCACTTTCTTAGAGCTATAGATGAAATGGCTATTGCATTAGGAAAACTTCTCGCTGATGACTCTCCTCAGGGTGAACCAAAGGGGATGTTGTTAAAAATACACAGTGGACCTGATTCAGCTTCTAAAGCCTTTGATGTTTCAAGTGTGACCATGAATTAAGGATTCTCAAGAACAGCCTGTTACCTTTCCAG